CTACGCCCACGTCGCTGGATGAGGTGTAGTTTGCCCTGGAAACGGGTGCGAAACTTGCGACATGGGCAGGACGCGTCATTCCCCCCCATATCCTGTGTAGGAAGGGGGTGGCTTCCTTCCTCGGTCTCTGCTGTCACAAACCTTGCCTTTCACGGTGGGTTTGATTGCCGAAACGTAAGATCCGTCGGACACACAGCTTCGGGCTGTGTGGGTGTGGGTGTGTGGTTTTTGGCCCCGGAGTTGCGCACCTCCTCCAAGCCGGCTCGGTTGCGCAACTCCAGCTCTTGGCCTCTTGACGTGATAACCTGGGGTGGGTGTGTTGAGGTTGGTTGGCTGCCAACCAGTTGTGTGTGTTTGCACGTGGGTTCCGGCCCTCGCTGAAGCATTCAGATGACCTGTTAAGCTGGTTTATCGCAAACAGCCTCGGTTGACCCACAACCGATGCAAAAGAGTTTTCCGGGCCGCAACTCAGGAGCGGCTGGCGTGTGTTCTTTCCAGGATGTTTCTCGACCTGATTCAGTGTGAACAATTAGGGTGTGTGGATGGGTGTTGTGTTGTGGTTTAGCATATTGTGCAAACAAATTGGGCGCGTTTTGTGGCGCGGGGTGTTGTGTTGTGCAAAGCCAGAAGATGGATTGATTTGGTCATTGGTGAGCCATGCGAGGTGAATCTGGAACTAAGGAGAAACCTCCTAGTAACAGTGAGGACAATTAGCCAGTGGAACTACTTGCCACCAGAAGTTGTGGGTGCTTCATTACTGGAGGTTTTAAAGGAAAAACTGGACAGTCACTTGTCTGCTCTTGCTCAAGCAGGGGGTTGGACTAGACTAGAAATAGAATTAAAATTAGGAATAAGAATAGAATGGAATGGAATAAAATAGAATAGAATAGAATAAGGGAATGGAATAGAATAGAATAGAATAAGCAATAGAATAGAATAAGGGAATAGAATAGAATAGAATAAGCAATAGAATAGAATAAGGGAATAGAATAGAATAGAATAGAATAGAATAGAATAAGGGAATGGAATAGAATAGAATAGAATAAGCAATAGAATAGAATAGAATAAGGGAATGGAATAGAATAGAATAAGGGAATAGAATAGAGTAGAATAAGGGAATGGAATAGAATAGAATAGAATGAGGGAATAGAATAGAATAGAATAGAATAAGCAATAGAATAGAATAATAGAATAGAATAAGGGAATAGAATAGCAATAGAATAGAATAGAATAAGGGAATGGAATAAAGTAGAATAGAATAAGGGAATAGAATAGAATAGCAATAGAATAGAATAAAATAAGGGAATAGAATAGAATAAGGGAATGGAATAGAATAGAATAAGCAATAGAATAGAATAATAGAATAGAATAGAATAAGGGAATAAAATAGAATAGAATAGAATAAGGGAATAGAATAGAATAAGGGAATGGAATAGAATAGAATAAGCAATAGAATAGAATAGAATAATAGAATAGAATAATAGAATAGAATAGAATAAGGGAATAAAATAGAATAGAATAGAATAAGGGAATAGAATAGAATAGGAATGTTGAATAGAATAGAATAGAATAAGGGAATGGAATAGAATAGAATAGAATAGAATAGAATAGAATAGAATAGAATAAGGGAATAGAATAGAATAGAATAAGGGAATAGAATAGAATAGAATAGAATAGAATAACAGAATTGGAACCCTCTGTTCAGGCAGGAAACCCTATACCTGCACACAGCAAGTAGCTTGTTTCAACTTTTTCCCTCTTTCTTTTCCCATTCTCCTTTTCTGCAGCTTGTACCTGGGAAATCCCATGGACCCCCCGGATGTCCTAGGATTGGATTTGAACCCTGCCAGGCCTACTCAGCTCCCAGGAAGGATAAAAAGTAAGAAATTTCATCTAACGTGTTCACTGTGTGTGTTGCAGAACTGCGAGACCCAGAATGCCTTTCGTCTGGTGTTCCCACACCGGTGCATGCTGGGAACGGTAGTTTTCAAAGCCAAACAATAGTTAACGCCCAATGCAAAAGAATCTCTGTAGCGCAGGGTGTAACTGTGGGGTCCTTGGTGCTCTCTGAGCTGGGTGGTTTTCTTGCGGACATTTCATGACTCAACTAGCTAACGTCATCAGGGTTAGAAGGAAGAGGAGTTTGCAGAGGAGGAGGAGGACTGTGGGGTCCTCGGTCCTCTCTGAGCTTGGTGGTTTTCTTGCAGACGTTTCACGACCCAACTAGGTAACATCATCAGTTATAGAAATTGGTGTTTGCTCTTTGTTTATAAACAATATAATTCCTTCCCCTCTTAGCATTGATGATATTACCTAGTTGGGTCATGAAACGTCTGCAAGAAAACCACCAAGCTCAAGAGAGTACCAAGGATCCCACACTTTATCTCCTCCTCCTCCTCCTCCTCCTCCCTTCTAGCACTGATGATGTTACCTAGTTGGGTCATGAAACGTCTGCAAGAAAACCACCAAGCTCAGAGAGTACCAAGGATCCCACACTTTTT